AAAAAGTTTGGAACCTCTTCTGTAGGTGTGGCCTACTTTCCAGGTCCACTGGTGGAACCGCTTCTAACTGGTTCGGTAGGTTTGACGAACCAGTTCTACCGAATAGGTGCGAACTGGTAGGAACCCACCTCTGGACCTCTGGCACATGATGTATTGATTGATAGTTGTTTTAAAGCTTTTTTTAATTAATTGAGTTCTGTTGTTCTCTGGTTTTAATTTCTTGCTCACTCTCCAGACTCACAATAGCGTAAAGGGCAGCCATGGAAATTGTTTACAGCAAATGGATCAATATATTTTAAAGAAAAAAAGTTTATACCTTCTGACCCTATAACAGAGAGCTGCTCCAGGGCTCATCCTCTGAGCAATTCTTTGCCAATGTCTTTTTGAGATTGTGGTCCCCAGAATTGAATGTAGTATTCCAGGTGGCCCTTGACAAAGGCAGAAAAAATTCAGAGAGTATCTTCTTGTGATTTATACTCTTATGCTCCTCTTATTACATCCCAAAGTAGCACAGGAGTTTCCTTTTTACCAGCTGCATCGGAGTGTTGGCCAGTCTTCCACATGTCATCCTCTAGAACAGGAGTCTCCAAATTAGGCAACTTTAAGACTTATGGACTTCAACTTCCAGAATTCCCCAACCAGCATGACAATCAACTAATAATCAGGCTTCCCCTCCCTCCTTTGAGATTGCTAATAAATTTTCAAGGGTATTTTGCCCTACTTGCACATGTTATATCTTCATCAGCTATTTTAATACAAACCATCCCAAGAAACCTGGAAGCTTTGTGTGACAGAAGACTCAAAGAATGATGGCAGGCTGTCGGTGGGAAGCCATCCCATTGTACCATCCCTCTGTCCTCAGAGTCTCAGGATGGCAAATTCATGAAACTGGGAGCCAGAAGGACCCCATTGTTGGCTACAGAGAAGCAGAGTCAACCTGTAAAGGTGTCTTCATTTATAGGGCAGGGCTTTGGCCACTTCCTAGAATCATAGGGCTGGATGGGACGTTGGAGGTCTCCTAGTCCAACCCCCTCCTCCCCAAGGCAGGAGTCCATAGTCTATCCTGGAAAAATGGTTGTCCAATCTTTTCTTTTTTCTTTTTGCAATTTTTTAAAATTTTTTATTAAACAAAGAACACACAAAAAAATCATCTTGCATTACATCTTGTAGAAAGTGTGTCAATTGGTTACAATTAGCTTTCGTGCATCTCTTCCACAGTCATTACTTATATTCATATCAAATGTCAAATATTCTTAATGGGTTTTACTATCACCATAGCATAGCTCTCATTTGACTGAAATTGTTTTAGTGTCCTTATATATCATTAACTATACCTCTTATCATTTCATTATTATTGTTGTCGTCAATATTTGTTAACAAAATCATTTACGAAAATCCTTTACTGTTATATCTATTTTCTTCCCATCAAACCAACATATATGTATACCTTATTGCCCTTATCAATTATTTATTTTATTTAACATAACAATCTATGTTACTAAATTACTACTTACTAATTATAAAACTTAAGTTTTTTGTTATCTACTTT